TGCCTAAGGTGGACTGCGAAACGGAGTATAACCTCCACCTTCAGGGGCGAAACCTCCACCTCCCCGACATCTGACAAAAAACATCTAAAGGCTGGCATTGCGAGCTGATACGATTTGCGTGTCGGAGGGGCTACGGACTGGAGAATTGCCCTGTCGATTTCTACTCTCCAAGGCTCCATAGGTGTGCTGGTACCTCCAGTGGTTGTGCTGCTGCCTCGGGAGCCAGCTGACGAAACCTGCAAAACTGAAAATGTGAAAGGGTGTCTACCAAAGGATTTAGTAAACCAGGGACATGGTGAGCTTGGAACAAAACATTGAACTTCAAACATTGTGCCACCATATTCCTAACCATCACCCTAGCCGATTTGGAGGTCTAGGAGTTCACCACATGGACAACTGCTTGGTTATCACAACAAGCCACACAGTTTTATTTGCAAATTGATCTGGTCACAAATGAACTGCCACCACAATGGGGAAGAGTTCCAGAAAATTGAGGTCCCAGGTCCACCCGCTGTCAACCAAAGACTGAGGCCAACCTCAGCTGCCCATTGACCTTTCCAATACATCCCAAAACTGTGGGCACCAGAAGTGTCGGAGTGTACCTGAAAGTCCGCCCTCAGCAGCATTTCAGACCTCCAGAATGAAATATAATTTAAATTGTTCCAAAAATGACTCCCAAATCTTCAAATCCTCCCGTATCCCACTAGTGATTCTAATGTGGTGATGCGGGGCCGTTACTCCCCTCATGGCATGATATTAACGCACAAGCAAAGTTTAACAAACCTGTGAGGGATTGAAAGTTGTGTAGCGTGGCCTTAGCTTTACCTCTCATCGTCCTCACCTGAAGCCTCATAGACATAAGCTTGTCGGCTGGGAGACGAGATAAACCAGCTACACTGTCCAATTCAATTCCGAGGAAAGTAAGACGGGTGTCTGGGCCCTCTATCTTTTCCTCAGCCAAAGGTACCCCCATTTCAGCCATTAGAGCCTGAAATGCCGACAGTGTATCCACACTAATGGTCCCAGGAGCCCCAGCAAACAAGAAGTCATCCAAATAATGGGTAATTGCATGATTACCTGACCTCTTGGCGGCACACCAGTGCAAAAAGGTGCTGAATGTCTCAAAAGCCGAGCAGGAAATGGAACACCCCATTGGCATAGCTTTATCAAAATAATACATCCCTTCAAATTGAAAACCCAACAGATCAAAATCATCTGGGTGTACAGGGCCACCAGAGATTGAGTGCATCCAATTAGCGGCCCAATTCTCTTCCCATTCTTTTCAGATCGAGGCAGCGACTGTTACGGAAGCCCATGGTTTAAGCGATGCTGCGATCCACCGAATTGGCCGCTGGCGATCTAGGGCTTTTAAGTCTTATGTTCGCACTTAGAGGGATCACAGATATCAGTTTTAAGCATTTACAGTTGTTTTGTTATTCTATCAAGCAGGTTTGGATCAGGGTGAAATATGGATCCTTGGTCACAGCCTCGTCTTTTGGGCCAAGCGGCACATCCTCGAACATCGCCGGCATTTGAATATGGGACTAAAGGACGTCGGTACTGTGCGTTGGCTTGGACGTAAAAACATGTTATGGGGAGCCCTTCTCCCGCGAATTACTGAATTGCTAGCAGCTTTTCCACATCCCAGGATCCTTCTAGTCCATCTGGGAGAAAATGATTTAGTAAAGCTTTCCAGTCTTCGGTTAGCTAGAGGAATTGTCAAAGACATGCAGGACATTAGGCAAAGACTGCCAAATACCATTCTTATGTGGACAAAATTTTTGCCTCGGCGTAGTTGGTCTGGTGCTCAGAACGATGCGGCCATCAATGGAGCTCGACGTTGGCTGAACAGAAGCATAGCCAAGACGTTGGCGGGAATGGGAGTTTTCATTGTTGAACACGCTGAAATTCAGATCTCTAGGCCACATCTGTACAGGGGGGATGGGGTTCATCTCTCCCCAGAGGGATCTGACATATACTTGGCTTCCATCGCTTCCCACATTGAACGAGCGATTATGGGAGGGGGGGATGGGATGCCAAGGTAGGCTGGCCCCCTCCTGTGGTGGGCAAGGAACCCCCCGGGGAATAATTTGGTTAATTGGAAATTACAAATTGGGTTAATTAAATTCGATGATGGGTATACGTCATTAGGTTAACCAAACTTTGTATGATGTCATTAAACAACTTAACGATGTCATAACTTGCTTGCGTTATAAGCTCACTTATGATGTAATTTCGGGTTGGGGGAAGAGATAATTATTGATGTGCATTTGATTTAAAACAGATGTTC